AATTTACAATTTCAATCACCATTCGATTCTCACTCTTCAAATGATAGTTTATGAACATCTTAGTTATTATGACGAGTATATTAGCAATTATAGAATTGTTTTTCAATATTGTTAACAAAGAGCTTTCATGAAAAATTAGGAAAGATAGGAGGAAATTACAATGATCAATAAAAAAAAGCCTATAATTGTTGGAGGTTATTTTTCATCGGTTGGAGGAAACGACGGGGTGGTATATTATCAAGAGATCATAAAATGATCCATCCCGCAGAATTTTTTTTTCCATGATATTTCATGACATTTAGGTCATAATTTTTGTCAGATATCAACTCCTCGGAGCTGTCAAAATCCTTGAGGGTAATTAATTTGCGTATGCCTACATGATATATCACAACACAGATAAGTATTTCTATTTCCCACAGCATATGAGATAATCAAACTTCAATTACTTATGACTTTTTATTTATTGTTCTTGTAAAAATAATGAAAATGAGCATCTGAATGAAGAGTGAGGAATTGCTTGTAGGTTATGCTCCTGAAATGAATGAGAACCAATGCTGCCATCTCTGAGTTCATTCGGAACTCTCGCTTTGTTGCCCCAACCTCACTCATGTCGGTGGAATTATCGGTTCATTGGGGATTTCAATGATTTTTTATGCTATCCGCATCAATTACAGCCGTGTTTGATTTTACCAGGTGTCATTTCATTATCACTACACTGTCAATTCGCTTTTATTCATTTGATGACAAAATCAAAAAATATTAATAAAAATCTATTGCTAGGGATCTGTGGTAAGGATCCTGTAAAATTTTTAATCGATTTATCAAAAAAGGAAATTGTTAGCTTGTTCTTCATAATGTTATACACCGAGATTCGAATTCTCATACCGATTCATTTCGGTTTACTATGAAAAAAATTGGATTCAAATTCGGACATGGTTCCGTCCGTAATTTGTAGGTTCCATTGCCTCTTAAAAGGGAAGAAGAGGAAAATTTCAAGAGAGTAAGAAATCAATAGATGAATGAACAATCAATGTGTGCCTTTTATTTGGATAATATACAATAGAAAAAACGTTCCACTTGTACATTGGGAGGACGTTGAAAAATATGAACATGTATTCAACAAAAATATTTCAAAACAAAGAGACCGCCGTCTCAATTACTGCATCGCCAAGTGCTCTATCAATAGCTGATCAACCCAATCTCGTTCAATCTGTTGATCTACTTGATCATTCCACCAATCTCCTCCCATCATCTGTGGAGGCAAATACGAAAATATTTCGCTTCGGCACAGTGGACATGTCCGTGTGATTAACTGCTGCACACATGCGACACAGATGCGATGATTACAGGAGTTCAATTTTTGAACTTTCTCTCTCGACTCGCATACGCAGCATTCTTTTTAATAAAAAAAGATTGAATCATTAGTACATCAACTAGGGAAGGGCGGGACAGAGTAGAAGGTAAAAAGGTGTAATGGCTAATTATTTCCGTAGCGAAGAAGTCCATAAGATTAGATCGAATCGACCATCCGATGAGTTTAGGAAAAAAATCTCAGAATTCGAGAAATAACGCAGAATTTCCATGAATGGCCCCCTCATATAGAAGCGTTCGTTCTTCTTGAGAATATACAGGCTGTTTCAGAATGACTTTCAAACTCTTCGTGAGTATATGCATTAGAGTACTCGGAACTCGGGAAAAATAGTTGAAAAATTCCCTGTGACCTCAATTTTGAATTGTTGAAGATTGAAAATGACCAATCAGATGGACGGGTTACAGCGCGGGGGAAGTGGTGGGGACGGAGCAAGTCGATGCGGCAACCGTGTCGCACAGTGTTACTCACTGTGACTACATTCACGTTTGATGCGCTCGCGTATAGATGTATCGGTCGGAGAGAAAGAGATCCCTTCCATGAATGGAGAGAAGGATATAATTTTCATGAGGTGTCCAGTAATTAAATGATAATTCCTCAATTTACATCGGGTAGTTTTCGTAATGACCGTGAATGTGGAAACTAAAGTCACATATCATGAGTTGTGTGATCTTTCGTAGTATTCCGAGCTAGCTGGATTCCAAATAATTTCGCCAGAGTAGGTAGGCAGACTTTTTCAGGAGATTCGTCAATACATCTCAGGGAAATCCCTCAGGACTGTTTTCTAGATATTCCTCAGAGTGTCTTCATGACATTCCTCATGCATGTATCCAGGATATTCCTCCGGAAAATCCTAAGCAATCGCCTAAAGAAATTCTAGAGGAATGTCTTGGGAAATGTCCTAAGGAAATTCTTGGGGAGTGTCTTGAGGAAATTATTGAGGAATGTCCTAAGGAAATTCCTGAGGAATGTCCTGAGAAAATGCTTGAGGAAAATCGTGAGAAAATTCCGGAGCAATTTCCTGAGGAATGTTGTTTTAAGAGTATTTCCTCAGGAGATTCCTCAAAAATTTCCTCATGATATTCCGCAAGAATTTCCTTAGGAATTTCCTTAGGGATTCATCAAGAGTTTCCTCAGGAATTTTCTCAAGAAATTCCTCAGGATATTACTCAGGAATTTTTCCAGAACATTCCTCAGGAATTTGCTCAGGACATTTCTCAGGAATTTTTCCCGGATATTCCTCAGGAATTTCTTCAGAACATTCCTGAAAACATTCCCCAGGTACTTTCCTCAGAAATTTCTCCCGGACATTCCTCAGAATTTTACGGAGGAATCCTCCGGATACATTTCTGAGGAATGTCATGGAAACATTCTGAGGAATATTCTGGGAACATTCCTGAGGAATTTCTCCAAGGAAATTCTGAAGCATTCTCGGACGATGTCAAGTTTTTGTCATGTAAATTTATTCATTTTGCGTCTAGTTTCATTTCATACATAGCTTCGGCCTGTCATCGAATGGAATATCTCAATTTCACTCAAGCAACGGAGGGCTATTCATTTATATTACGAAAGGATTTTAACTAGTGTTGACAAACGAATGTTCATGCGCTGATAATTCATTTGTAAGAATACACATGAACATGAAAACTCTTTCCTTACATATCACAAACACCAATGAAATTTGGTGCACTGTCGTGCACTCATCTTTCACGAGTGAACGTGATTGTAAGTTTTCCCCGCACTTGCTCACACCGCTAAGATATGGTGCATTCTTACGCACTCACACTTCATCGATGCTTGCGAGTACGAGCGTAAAATCCAATGTTTATGCAAAATAAACTGACCGATTCCATTCATAACTTCAGCCTGGTATTGAATGCGATATCTTCATTTCATTCGAGCAACCGAGGGCTATTTATTCATGTTGCAAAAGGATTTTAAGGATGTTCGATACCCTTTTAGCCAAAATTGACGTTGTTTTTATTTTTCTGGCAAATTATCGATGGGAGTGACGTAAAAAAATATAACGATTTTGTGGTTTGTCATTCTTTAATGGTTCACGAAGTTGCGTAGTGGTGCGATAATTTTCATGCGTTTTTTCTACAGTTTTGTGATTCTTTTTAAAAGTTTAGAGAAAATGCAGGAAAATGTTCGCACCACCTTAAAATTTCGTCAGTCATTAAATAATGACAAAACGCAAAAACGTTATATTTTTTCACGTCAATTCCATCATAAGTTTGCCAGAAAAATTACAAAAACGTGAATTTTGGCAGAAAGGGTGTAGAACATCCTTAACTAGTGTTGATGAACAAAAATTCATGCACTGATAATTCACTTGCATGAATATGCATGACCATCGGAATCCTTTCCTTACATATCACAAACACCAATGGAATCTGGTGCACTCATCTTTCACGAGTGAACGTGATTGTAAATTTTCCCCACACTTGCCTACATCTATGAGATATGGTGCATTTCCACGCACTCATACTTCATCGATGCTTGCGAGTTCGGGCGTGAAATCCAATGTTTAGGCCAAGTAAACTGACTCGCATCCTCTATAACTTGCCTGGAATTCAATTCGATATCTTAATTTATTGAAGCAACCAATGAAATTCGGTGCACTTCTCATGAGTGTTGGCGACTTTCAGAGGTTCGAAGGTTCATCCACAAATTGTGTCACGGAAAATTAAATAATTGAGGGACTTATCCAGTCGTCGTTACATGACGTTGAAAAGGAATCATATGAGGAATTGAAAATGATAAGAACAAAAAATATGTAATGATACAGTGATTGTGGTGGTCGCGAAGATAGTTTGCGTGCTCTGGCAGTCATTCGGGCTAGGCTGCGTTTAGCCATTTCAGTAGTTAGACGGACACTCCGTTCATCTTTCTCACCATCGTTCTAATCGTATCTGTGCGTTCTTAACCCTCCTTTTCAACTCAAATTCTGCGCTCTATTTTTTAAAGTTTCTGCGTCGTTTTTCATGGGTCAATGGTGAACCCTAGTAAACCTATGCTGGTACAGGTAGCTTTATTAGCACTTTGACGCGTGCCGGAGCTTTCCGTAAAAAAATTCGGTTTCACGAGGAATCGAACTTGACTGTTACTGTCACTGTTGTTTGATAGTGAATGATCTTCAGTAACTCTCAATGTCACAGTCCTACCACTTTTCTTAGCCGCTAAATGTTTCCAACCATGGAACCTCTCTTACATTTATGTTCACCTTATCTTGTACGCATTTTGATACTAGTAACAAAATCATCAATGATGATCAACTGTATATGAACATATTTGGAGTATCGACCCTTGAAAAATCTACAAAAGAAAATCATTGTGTGAAGACATGTATGCAAGCAATGCGTGTTCAATATTTTGTAGACTCCAAAGATGTGTACATATCGATCAGATGATGAATCATGCATAATTTTCTTATTTTTTTTGGCTCCTCCCCGCCTGGTTCTTCTCCTCTTCACTGGAGGTTCTCCTTCATCATCAACATCCACATCAAGAACATCGTCAACCACCACAACCTCGGGCGATTCTTCTCTGTTTTCTGTCTATATATAAATAACCAACTCGTTATTATTTGACAGAGTATGGTCTATTTTGCATAGATATTCAGATTGAGTCATAAGAAAACCAAGATCAAATGGGCTACTCCGCTATGGGCCATATCAAGAGAGTTCGCAGCATCTGCTGACTCTGTGTTCTCTGCAAATTGCGCATCCTCTGTAGGTTGTGCCGCAACTCCAGCGATCAACTGGGGACTCTGTGGAGCTACAACTGGATCTTCATCTGCAGTTTCGGCTTGATCTCCGTGTCCCAGGTCATCTGTAGGTTCGACAGCCTCTGGTGTGCCTGCGGCATCTGTAGGTTGTGCAATATCCGCAGGTTCCGTAAGAGCAGCAGGTTCTGCGATCTCCATAGCAGGTCGACGTGGACCACCGCGACCTCTCCTCGGAGGAGCTGCCTCGCCAGCTGCGACAGTTCGTCGACGTTGATTCCTGGGATTCGTTCGCTGTGCTCGAGGACGAGCTCGTGGAGGTGCGGGTGCAGGTTCAAGTTCGAGATGAACTTCTGGAAGTACTTCCTGGTTTTGATCCTGTGCAGTACGTCGAGATTGCCTCCTGGGATTCGTTTGCTGTGCTCGTGGAGGTGTAGGTACAGATTCAGGTTCAGGTGGAACCGCTGGAACTGCATCAGGATTTTGATCCTCAGCGGCACGTCGATGCTGCCTTCTGGCATTTGTTCGCTGTCCTCGTGGACGTGCTCGTGGAGGTGCTCGTGAAGGTGCAAGTATAGGTTCAGGTTCGTTTCCGTCTTCAGAAATAATCGGTGGAACCTCTGGAACTGCACCCACATTCTGATCTTCAGCTGCACGTTGGGGTGGACGACTACGGGCCCTCCTTGGATGATCCACCTCACCAGTTAGGGCGTTTCGTGGACGGTGACTTCTAGCGTTGGAATTGTTTCGCTGAGCTCGTGGAGGTGCTGGTGCCGGTGCATCAGGCATAAGCTCACGATCGAAAACTGTGGTGACAATGAAGGAAGTGATGAAAGTATATGAAAGGAAGGATTATCATGTCTTATTTCCAATTCCAATTTGGTTATTACGTTCATAGATTCGTTTCCGTCTTCTAACAAACAATTGGTTTTCAACGAATCCACCTGTGAATGGAAACGTCAAAATTGAGTGCCATCATACGGTTAAATTTATGAGATAGTGAGCATACTAGCGCCAGGAGTTGCATCAAGGTGTATATCTTCAGGGGCGTAGATTCCGTCATCATCAACTGGCATGCGCTCTCTCTCATCGAACTGGAAAACTAATTATTTCACAATTGAGTATGACTATCTTTTTCCCTAAAGAGCAATGAAATTTTATTTTTTCAAAAACCTCTGGACAGATGCATCATCCTCAGATTTCCGATCGATGTCAAAAATTCTCCAACAGTCAGTCTAGCAACAAAAATGTAATTTCCAGTATTGCATTTCCTCTAATGTGCTAATATAATAGAACATAATATTATACTGATTCAATTCCAGCTGATTCTTATATCTCAATATGGCTGCATCCTGCACTTGGAGATTCAATGGTCTCCAATTCCTAATGCGACCTCCGTTCGCCAATTTTTTGTAATCGGAGACAGCTCTATCGATGATGTTGGAGTGTTTGGCTGTTCAAATTGAAGAAATTGAAAAAATACATAAATACAATTTCGTAATACATTGAATATTCATGTGGTGATAAAATTAGTTCACTTCTATTGCACTCATGGAAAGTCGCCCAGGTGGACAACTAAAATTATTTACGATCGATCGGACCCTAGACCCGTGAGGCATGGGTTTGAGTCTAGCTTGAAACATTAGTATATTTAACCTTCTGGAAACCCTCGAATGACAGTCAAGAGGCTGAACATTACCAAAGGAACGGTAGGAAAATATACTTCGATGAGGCGTCATTGGTGGACGTCGATGCGGGCCGTCCACCAATGGAGGTTTTGCAAGGGGAAAATGAGAAAAAACTAAGCCTGAGATTGGATGATCCTGAGAAAGAGCCGATTTCTACGGTTTCCACCTGATTTTCCACCTAGGAAGACCTGAAAACTCTACAAACCCTTGAATGAAGGAGTAAATGGAAGTTGTTAGTCTCCTAATAACTACACAAATCCATGAATAAAGGAATAAATTGAGGACTGCGCTCGTGACCAATCCCAGTTTTCATTTTATGTCGATTTTGTGGGACAAGTTCGAGGCAAAATCGCTTATGAATCGGCGGGACGAGACAGAGACGCAACCCTAGTGGAAAAACCTAAGGCAGAGGCGTAACATACTTAATCAGAATTTCGGATCGGACTTGATCAGTTTCTGATCGAGACCTGAACAGAATTTCCACTCGGGTATGAGTGAATTTGAGAGTGAAATTCGTAAGTGTCCTGGTAGCTCAGATGGTGAGAGCACCCGTCTCGACATTGGGAGGTCCCGGGTTCGATTCCCGGCTAGAAAGTTACTAATTTATTCTCTCAAAAAAAAATTGAATTTAATTAATGCCTAATGATGGAAGGCGGAGAAACCCTANTCTCGACATTGGGAGGTCCCGGGTTCGATTCCCGGCTAGAAAGTTACTAATTTATTCTCTCAAAAAAAAATTGAATTTAATTAATGCCTAATGATGGAAGGCGGAGAAACCCTAGTGGAAAAACCTACGGCAGAGGCGTAACATGCCTGATCACAATTTCGGATCGGACTTGATCAGTTTCCGATCGAGACCTGAATAGATTTTCCAGTTGGGAAGTCATTTACTGAGGACACTCTCGGAGCATCAGAACCTTCTGGCATCACGACGGTGTGATGATTATTAGGGTTCACTTCAAGAACATTTCGTGTACTATTCTCCTAAGAGAGAGATGAAAAATCATCATCTAACTTCCTCCTGTGGGCAGCCCATAATAAATTGGAGGATTAATTTGTGTGCTTACTCATCATCTTCCATATTGGCTGATGTACTCCAATGCGTTTCTGAGTATGCAAGTGGAAATTTTCACATGTGTTGTTGGTGCGTACTGGATTTCTGAACACCGACATAAAATTGTGCAAGGGCACCCAGAAAGTTCTCAAGTATCGTCCTAACTCCTGTAGCCCCGGTTGCATCTCTCTGTCAATGAGCGCAGTGATATGCTGCGCTCCATCTGGGATCTTCTCCGCCGGTAAATGCGCCAAGGCTTATACCTTTTCCAGTATGTATTCACAACCGATGATCCCGAGACCATCCCATTTCTTCCCGATTGCCTGTGGAATTGTAACGCAACGGTAATTGCAATAATATCTGTTAGTGTCTATTCGTCATGTATTATTGTATCAGCCGTCAGCCCGTGGATGGCCACGGACTGGAGTCATACAAAGGATCAAGCCCTAGGGGTCAGACAGAGGGTCACAGTTCAACCCATTGAACATCGAACGTCTCGAATCGTCTCGGTGTGAGAGGAGTGGGGCGTGCCTCGATGTTTTAGTGCGCCATAAGAAAGGCCTGCGTGCGCACGCACACCACCATACAGTGGCGAGAAGAGGGGTACTGTGAGGTTGTTCAATGGGTTAATGTTCAAAGCAAGCATCAAGGTTTAGAGTTGAATTGAAAGTATATGCCTCGGTATCATACTAATGATCATGAGTCAAACAATGAGGGTCAAACTAGATCTTAATTGGTAAAATTCGAGTTGACGGTGAACCTTTTGAAGTAATTTTTTTACTATCAAAGCAATTATCAATGTTCAGGGAACAAACTGAATATTGATAGCCAAACATTCAGTCAAACTATAATCTTCCAAGCGTCTTTGTGCCTATGAATGATCCTTTGTCTTTGTCTCTATTCCTTGAAATTTACCGCATAAATGTATGCAACTCACTTGTTTATAATGAAATAAACAACCACAGATATTCGCTTGTGGGAAGTTCGTCCTGAAGCTATTTATTTGCGCAATTTCAAAGTCTCCAGTTATTGTCGTGACATTCTCTCTCAATAAAGGGATCATCTCCAACACTCTTTCCCAGATTGCATTATACATGCTAGTTGTTTGCGATGATGCAAACACGACAATACCCGGGAATCCCTAACGAAATTTCCATAATAGAATATTTCTACCCTATCAACACAATTCCACTATGTTAAAACCTACTGAATCCAATTTCCTGAAGTGGATGGTATACACCTGCTTGAAGCCAGGTATAGGACATGTGATTTATTAGCAGGAGAAAAATGAATAATGAAAATCCAAGGACAGTTATAATGATAATGTAACTGAAATAGGTATTCCCGTCACGAGAAAGTTCTGCTAGTAACTATCTGCGAGGCGGATCTGGTACATCACGTCTGAATGACGAAACTTTATTTTCTTTATTTTCACACCCTGATGAAAATTGCCATCACTTTCATCCCAAAACGTACCTTTCAATCATAAGCGAAGGAAACTACTTTTTAACGAGAATTCAAGCGATAGTATGATGTTATTTATAGAAAAAGTCTTGAAGTGATCTTATGCTAAGGTACTTTTTGCTAAATTGATTCCTCACAATCAATTAGAAATTGTATGCTAACTAGCCAGAATCTCGGTCATCTGATAGGGAGCCGACGCCATTTTCTCCCTAGCTCTCTGGATATTTGATGCCAGAATGGACGGATGGAAGCATTATGTCTGTGGATAACTTTGAAAAATGAATTTTATGGAAAGGGTTCTCTTATTTTGAATACGTATCCAAACGCATGATAACTGACGTATCATGCTCTCATTAGTTGGAGCCGGGATAGGATGCATTCATATTTTGAAACACGACTTTATGAACAAAATACAAGGACGTAAAAGGGCAGTTTTCATCAAAGTTTAAAGGAAAATACATGAATCGATACTTTCTTTGTTAAGAGACGCAATATATGAATGCATTAATCTTCAATATCCTATAGCTTCTCACTTTGAACGTGCCATCAGCATACAGCTGCCTGCATTCCGACAGTGGCTGACGCATGTTGTCATGCATCATAATAACACCCTGTGAACCATCGGTAGCAAGCACTGTGCCTTGATATAAATGCCGCAAAGGTTGATAGTCCTGCAGCATTTCTCCCAACTCAACCAAATTCCTTGGGGTTGGTGGCACATGTGCTCTTCGAGCCTTAACAATTTTCTGCTTATACTCATTGTAGAAGGAGAGCTCGTCAGCAATCGGTTGATGCCTTCAAAAGGAATGAATTATCATCAGAGTGATGGATGAAATAGCGTTGGTGACGTAAGAAGAACCCCTGCTAGGATTTTTCTGCCTCCGAAAAGCCTGTTTAAGGTTCTGCGAGGCTAAACGCTCAAAAAATGAGAGCCCTAGCAGATGCTCGACGTTAGTATTGCCCAGTGATTTCAGACTGAAATATTTCACCGGAAGGCGGAAAATAGGACCTCCTGAGCTTGTACTTTAACTCACTCTTCTTTAGCTTTTATCCCATCAAATAATTCCTTCGGGTCTTCCCAGCTCAGAGCCGCTTGGAGAATTTCGGCGTTGAATTGCTCTCTCAGTGGTAAAAAAAATCGGGCTCGTGCTCGTGCCTTCCACTCACCGTTACCGGTTGATTCTCAAGATCGTGAAGAGAATTCACATAGGCAACGGCGTCGCGCCCTACAGTATTCTTTAGAATGCAACGGAAGACGGTTCCAGAACCTCTGGAATCGCGATAATAGGGGTAGCCTTCCGCCTGATGAAAGAACTTCGTCGTACCAGGTCGGCTTCTAGCCATGCGTATCATCTTGAGCTGTGCAAGTACGAATGAGCAATTATTAAGAAGGGTTTGGCTAACCCCTTTCCCTTCCCCTACTTTTTGCAATTTATTAGAAATCCCGGGGTTCATGCGTGGGGGTGCGACCCCCATTTGCTCATTAGAAATCCCGAAAATTTAAAAATAAACATTTTTCTTAATCATACAAATTGCGTCATCGCAACATCTTCTGGGGTGGAGGACCCCTCCCCCCTCCTCTA